GAGCTTTTGTATCTGATCTCTATATATATATATATATATATATATATATATATATATATATATATATATATATAATATAGTCTAATATAATTATTTGTGACTGATAGTTACTTAATGTAACTAATTAAAGGATTTTAATGGATATGAAATAAAGAAAAATATAGAAAACAGTAATTAGAACTAGAATTTATTGTAATGTAATCCATTTGCCATTTCCATATGTTGAAAATGTTTCTCGTCACATCAAATTCAATTATACTTGACACGAATCACATAAATTCAAAATGAAGAAAGTTGCATAGTTTACATCACTGGATATTTCTTTGTCTATCGTTTAACATTTCTTCATGTCGCCAACTGTAGAATCACACTAGAACTCACATTTGGCTTCTGTGCACAGTAAAGCCTGCCTTTTTTAGTTTTGATTTGATTGGCCATCTCAATCATTTTGACATTGATGAGCACTGTTAGACCACTGAAGCATACAAAAAAAATTTACTTTAAAAACGTTTTATCATCCTAACAAATGAATGGTTTATAATGAAGTCCATAGGTTATTGGAAATTGATCTTGACAAACGAGATGACTGCCGACATGTCTTAAAGGGAATTCGATTCCACAAAGGAGTAAAAATTATAAAAGGCCAGTAGCTATCTGAAGTAAACATAAGTCTAAAAGCTTTTCATAATGCCTTGCGGGAATAAAGCCAAAAAGTATTAAAAATGCCCCTAGCCACCTACCTGAGAAGTCTTATGTTGTGCAAACTTTGGAAACTTTTTAAAGTGTTTGCTATACCATTAACTTGGGCTGGACTGGCACTGAAAATAGCCTAAGCCCAGTTCTGGCCCATCACAACCGTAAGCAAATAATCCCACACTAAATGTATCACTTATGCATATAATACAAACTACTGTCTGCTGTACTTTCTAGTTTGTATTGATTTTGCACTGTGTGTGAAATGTTTACATTGAAAAGGCAGTGCAATTAAATTACACAACAAATGAAAAAATCCATAAAGCTAAAGTGTGTAATTTTTTTTATGTTCGAAAACGTTTTATAGATTACTAAAGCAATAAGCCCCAAGAAGCCGTGGTTTACAGTGAATTCATAACAGCTAAGGGGCGTTGTTAGGCACGACGCGAAGCGGAGTAAGGTTTCACAAAATAAAACAGAGCAAATAAAGTGTAATGATATTAATAAAAACATTATTCTTCTGCCAAACAATGCAGATCCTCAGAAACAGTTGTGGTTCCAACAAAGTGGATGCCAAGCAACACACAAATGTAAACAAAGGTGTGTGTTTGTAGAGTCATTTACAACAGCTTCGAACTTGGCTCAACCAATCAGAATCAAGGACTGGAACTATCAGTTTTATCATTATTTTTTGATAGAATACTTCTGACAAATTTTAACACTTGTGTCCAGTAGCTGACTGGACGAAGTGACTCAACCTGTCCATCTGAAAAAGACCTGGTGCCATTAACATGTCTTTATGTGTTTCGTTTATGCCGTTTAGTAGCCACAGTATCTTGCTGAAAGCATCTTAGTTATTCATGTGGAATATACTGATAGATTCACAGTCACAGAAGCATGTGCTTCAGGGGTGTTTGTCATAATTTATTACTGTCTGAATGCTCTGAGGTTTTGTGTATCCACAAGGTTAATGATATCTACCCTCACAGT